AGGGAGTCTACACCTACCTACGTGGCTTCAACTAACTGTTATGGATTTCATTGACCGGTAAAGCCATGTTTTGGTTTAACCACCGCTGACTCTTTTCTAGCCTGACCCTATGTCAGCCAACATTGCCTATCGAGGAAGGCGATGACTAGGCACACGTAACACATGTCCTTACCGTCTCAGTCGATGTAGCTTCACAGCCTCGTAGATTGAATTCCCCTACCACCTACCTAGCACTCGACCGATACCTTACCTCAATATTGCACACCCTATTATACTGTAAAGAAGACAAGACTAGGGAGGCTGCAAGGAAGGTTTATTTGGTGAAACGTATGGTACATAGCTAAATTTGGAATACCATATTCTGAACCGGCCATTTGCACATCATTGATCACATCCTTGACTAATTGGTCGAATATCAACTCATTCGATAGCTTCTTGGATTCTGCATCATATGGCAACATTCTTCTCATGGTTCTCTTCTTTGATTGCTCTGTCCAGTGTGCCAAACATGTTGTTACTTCGTTCCTGATATACTACTTATATCGGATTATAAGTAGCACTCACCACAATACCACCTAACACGGCAGGCACCTATGACCAAAGACAGCTAACCGGCATTTTCATGTCCTCCAACCTCAATGGCCATGTCTCACAGCCATAAAGGAGGACGGAGCGGACTGCTGAGCAGTACACACGCCCTTTAGTCGATAGCCAACCGGCTTTCACGTCTACGCGAGAGCCGGCGTAAACTGACATATGCGAAACTAGCCCTCTGTATATCCGTTCTGAGATTTCGTCAGCTGTCAAACCGCTGGCGTTGGCTGATGCAACTTCCCAAATAAGTGAAGTGGTCAACACGCTCCACCAACCACTTCACTCCCCATTTCTAGGCTAGGAGTCAATAAACACATGATTTCATTTAGGACACGCACACATACATACACTGAAGGTTTGACTACAACATAGCATATATTATCAGGTTGAGGTGTTTAGACGATAACTTCACATTTTGCGTTCGGAGCTTCAGTAGCAACAATGGGGTTGCAGGAAACTCATATCATGAGCTTCCATTTTTCTCGGGCTTTTGCTACTAGGTATTAAAATACGCGAAGTTTAGGAGGATATCGCGAGAAGGCAAGAGACTTGTTAATGAGCTTTTTTTAATATTTAGAATTTTCTCTTCTCCGTCTTTCTGGGCAGTGCCTCCTCCACTGTTCTAGTTTACCACATTCAGAGCATTAGTCTTTTCTGGCACTCATTCGTAGCCCCACAGCTACTTTATGCTACAAATCTCACTTTCTGTTCCTACTCGTTCGACTTCAGTGGCTCTATTGAGTCCACCCGTTGTACTGAGTATGTGTCTTATCATCTTCGCTAGTTCACTGTGTGCAGCCTTGACCAGTCGTAGTTGCTGAGCAATATATTCTCGGACACTTTCGATAAACTGGGAAGCCGACAACTGAGTCTTTGACTCTTCATCAAGTGTGGGAAGCGTGAGACGAAGAAGATTCGTCAGCTTCACCGCCAATAGAAACAAGTCTCTCTTTGGTTCGAATCATAATAAGGATCATTGGTACGCACTGTTGAAGATTGATTGATTGACTGACTGACTAGTTTCAACAGAAGTTCAGCAGTTCCAGCTGTCACACTCTCTCCGACCGTAAGCTGCTACGTTGACGTGGTGGTCGGGCTTGAACACCGCAATAACCCTACAAGCTATACTGCCTGAGACTTATGTCTCTTGAGGTCCTACCATGACAGAAAGGTTGTTTGGATAGCGGTTAAACAAAAAGCAGCTACCCAATCCAATACTATGATTCAAACAAATTCACAAAATATCATGCCGGATCGGTCGGGGCCCAGATTAACAACGACCGCGCTTCCTGCTGCCGTGTCACAGGGCAGAAGTGATAAATATGCTACTGAGACACACCAAACAAGAAAGAACAAACAAAAACTGGCCGCGTGTGACCGGCCTCAAGCAGTTGTCCCCTGGGCTCTGCGGTCACGCAACACTAACCTTTTCTCTTTTTTAGGTACTCGAAGACTCAACCAACTTCCACGGTGTGGGCAGCCGGGAAGTAACATCCGCTCACACACTTCCAAAAGCCCACAAAGCCTTTCTGAGCATCAGACAGGAAAACAATAGCGTTTAGCGGATATGGCAGATCACAAAAAGTGAGTGCATCTGACCCAGCCATTGAAAACGATTTTGAACCATATCACCAGTTTTTCCCCAGCTATTGGTTTTTAGACTGTCGAAGACTCCATCCAGGAAGCCTACACCTCCCTACATGGCTCAAACCAATTGTCAAAGACTTCTTGAACTGCTTTCATGTTTTGGTTTGACCATCACTAGTTAACTCTTTTCCAACCTGATCCTATGTCAGCCGCCATGACCTGTCAAGGAAGGCGATCAATGGCTAGGCATACATAACACGTGACCTAGTCATTTCAATCAACGTAGCTTGACATCCTTCATCGATTGAGTTTCCCTTCTTACTTAACACTCAACACCTATCCTCAGTATTACTCACCTTATTTTGATTGGCCACTAGTAACTCGTGTTACATGTCTAGTCCTTTCTTTGGTGCAGACTGAATTCTATCATTCAGGTTTGCAATGTGGCCAGCCACCATTCTACGTAGCTCGCCATCACGGTGCACATTGATTACTCATTACTCACCTTAATATGCCACCTAACATGGAAGACAGAGCGCATACACCTAAAATCAAAGACATAGTTTTTACATGTCTTCCACTTGCTCACAGCTATGAAGGAGAATGGAGAGAACTGCTGACCTGTATACATGTCCTTTGATTGATAGCCCGATGGATATCCCATCTACGCCAGAAATGATGCAGGCTGGCGAATGTCACGCAAGCGTTTTCTATCCGTTCTGAGATTACGTATTCTTCAAATGAATCATAACAAGAATCAGAAACTTCATAGGTAAAGGCCATACATTGGAAGAACAGAGAGAGAAGGGTTATTATCCGCATTTCTGAACACATACCAAAGAACCTGAGACTAAAAGGTCCGTAAGCATTAAACAATGCGATTGCGCGTCATCTACTGGACACTGTTCATATTGTAGACAACCTGAAGTCGTTAAAATAAAATCAACAAGCAAAAGAAACCTAACTTGCTACGCTTTGTTGAAGCAATTGCTATCAAACGACTTAAACCAAATCTGTGTGCGCAGAAAGAGACAGTAGTGAATCTTGCACTGCCCTGGTGATAACAAAAATATACAACTTTTGTGGGTCACCCTTTTTCTATTGGCTATTAGATAAAACATTTTCTTTAGTTACTTAATCTACTTTTTTGTTATGTTCTTTCTAGCTAAACCTTGTTTCTATACATATATATATATATATATATATATATATACGCAACTCTGTTTTTTATTTCCAAGCCTAATTGTCTAACTATTCTATAAATAGCCAGTGTTTGTAACTCTTAATTAGTTAAATCATTCCGAACTAATGTTACTTTTACACTTCCTACCAATTACTCCTTGTGATCGTGGAAAAGTATGTTCAAATCTTTAATGTAATGTAATTCATATTTTTTTATCGTTCAGGTTGTAACCAGTTGAGAAGAATCCTCGAAATAATAAAAGATGAGCTGATATTATCTTCTGGTACAATTGTTGTTCTTACTTTGTTCACTCATTGTGTTGAAAGCTGATGATGATGTAACTAACCGATTTGGTAAAGCTGAAATATGCGGAATTACTACTCTCCTGGCAGTGTTCGAGAGCAGGCAGTGAATACAAGGATGTTTTTGCGAAAATCTCCGGGACATTTCGATCTCATATATACGTACTTGTCATGAATAAATGCAGAGTCTTCTGAACACCTTGAGCTGCAATCTACGAATGTTTGGCATGCGATTCGCTCCCGCCAAATGTAAGATGATGTAACAGGACTGGACTACACTGACTCCTAGTTTAGAAATAGGGAGTGAAGTGGTAGAGCACGTTGACCGCTTCACTTATTTGGGAAGTACCATCAGCCCCAACGGGTTGATCTGTGACGAAATCTCAGTACAGATACAGAGGACTAGTTTCGCATATGCCAGTTTACACCGTCTCTGGCGTAGACGTGATATCCGGCTGCCTGTCGACTAAAGGGCGTGTGTACTGCTCAGCAGTCCGCTCCATGCTCCTTTATCGCTGTGATACCTGGACATTGAGAGTAGACGACATGAAAAGATTAGCTGTCTTTGATCATAGGTGCCTGCGTTCTATCTCCTTTGTGAAGTGGCATAATATGGTGAGCAATATTGAGGTTAGGCTTCGGTCGAGTGCTACGTAGGTGGGAGGGGAAATCAATCTACGAGGCTGTGAAGTTACATCGACTGAGATGGTTAGGACATGTGTTACGTATGCCTCATCATCGCCTTCCTCAACAGAAGGGCAATGTTCGCTGACATTGGGTCATCCTGGAAAAGAGCTAGCGGCGGTTGAACCAATGAAATCCACAACAGTTAGTTTAAGCCAGCCACGTAGGGAGGTGTAGACTTCCTGACTGGCTGATTGGGGTCCTCGGGACGGTAAACACCAATCGCTGGAGACAATTGGTGATATGACTCAAAATCGTCGTTGTCAATGGCTAGCGCAGATGCATCCACTCCTTGTGACTTATGATTTCAAATGAAACTATATTATTATTCGTTATTACTACTCCTTTGTCTCACACCTCTGTTTACTGTCTCTATTATGCATTTCTTCTACTTTCTTCCCTTGGTTTGTGTACTATATGGAGTGTGGCGATTTGAACTGCTGCAGCTCAGTGCAAAGTTCTATGTCGAAAACAGACAGACAGACAGACTTGTCATGAATATTCACATAAAAGGGTCAAGATCACAGATAAGGAGTAGGAGAATGGGGTAGTAAATAGGAGGGGGAGGGGGGGGGGACGGTGAAAATATGACAAGTATGCGAGTGTGTGTGTGTGTGTGTGATAGGTAAACGCCTTCTCTATTGACTTACTTGTATAAAAGTGACACGACTATCAGCAAGAATAGATTTTGCAATATCATCCGCTATCAATGGATCATGATTCCGTAGATTTTTTAAATAATATCTTGAATTCAACGTTAAACGTCCAGCCAAGTCATCGACTATATTAGCTAGACGACTTTGTTTTACAATGGGGCCAGATTCAACAGTTACCTGTAAAAAAGAAAAGCGAAAAATAGAAATAAATAAAATACTTGTTACTGGCAAAGGCTAGAAAAGTACTGAGAATAATGGGAGTTAGGGTTATATATCATCGTGTGGTTGGTAGTGTCTACCAATGGAATGCAAGACATGAATCTTGTCAACCGGATGTGCCAGTGTAAAGAAGAAAAGACCGATAAGGCTCGAAGACAATGTTTATTAGGTATAAATTTGGTATACCTTATCTTCAAGTCTTTATTTGCACATCAATAGCAACTTGGTCTAATATCACCACATTCGATAGCTTAGTGGATTCTCCACAGTCTTGTAATGTTCTTCTCACAGTTCTTTCCTTTGATCGCCTTTTTCCAGTGTCCGAAAACATATTGTTACTTTTCTGAATTCGTTTGCTGATATACTACTTATATTTGATTATAAGTAGCACTCACAACACCAGCATCTCCAAAGAATGGATGGTATTCTCATCCATCGTTTTGTCAAACACCAAAACCGTTATTCATTAGGTTACTGAACTATTAGAGCCAACCTTTTGTCAAAGGAGTAACAGTTGTTATCGGTTGAGGTTATTTTACATTTCATATATTAGAAGTCGACATATTAGCAAAGACTCAGAGAAAATTCTGTTCAACTGTTTTGTCCAGTTCCCCTAATAGTTGCTGATCATGTTCATGAATACACTTGAAGATAACATCTTTTCATCAAACGAGATCTACACAATTAATTCTTGGAGAAACTGAACAATCTATCTCCCAGCATCCAGCTGACCTCGGAAGCAGGCAGAATCAGACGTTTTCTAGACTACCTGACTAGTTAAGAGACGAGAAAACGGATATTTTAATACATCTATATTCAAGAAGAATATCCACTCCAACAACAATATTTAGACTTTGGGTCATCGCACCCCATCAGCTCAAAAGTATCAGTTGTTTCAAATCTTCATTAGATGAGCACACACTTTAGTGTTAACGGATGAGAAGGAAAAAGGAAGAAGAAGAGACATCAAACATTACTGAGACTCTCAAGGAAAATAACTACCCAAAGAACTTCATCAACATAATCAACACTGACATTAAATATGGTCGAAAACACGTATTCCGAAGACATGGACCTCAACAGTTGCCATTCCATACAGACCATCAGAGACGTTAGACGATATCAGAGGAGTATTCAATAAGCTCGACATCAGAGTTTTCTTCAAAACATCAGACGCACACACTACAAAGCAACCTTCTCCATATAAAAGACCAAATCCCTAAAGATTCTCTATCTAATTGTGTCTATGAAATAAAATGCTTGGAATGTGATGCAATATATATATATCGGACAAACATCGCCAGGGAGAAATCAAAATCAGAAGAAATGAACACCGTAGAGCCGCCTCTATTCGACCACAGAGAAATCCAATTGAACGAGAAATGCTTGAAAGATCATCAGCCATACCTTGTCTACACGCTACGCTATAGAATCAGGTCACGAAATTGGTTTTGACAATGTTGAAATAATCCAGAAAAAGCATTTCAGAAATCACAAAGAACGTCTAATATCATCAAATGGAATCCAAATTGTCTAAATGGGAATGATGGACTAAAAACAGAATTTGACCTGGTTACAACACACCCCTCTATCCTTCCCCCATGAAATGACAAAATCAACACAAATCAGATAAGCACTTTCATCAGCATGTAAATACAGACTGTTTTTTTAATAATTTTATACGTTTATCAAATCTAACAATCTACACCTGGCTTTATAATTATCTTTACCAGTTGGCCAGCTTGACAAGGTAAAAAAATTACCCCATTGATATAAGAATAAAACTTGTGCACTGTGGTAGAGTGTAATTCCATTATGGATAAAAATTTTGTTTTGATAAAGTCTCACAGTGGTGTTATACAGAAAAATTACCCCATACTGATGAACGATGATGATTAAGTTGTTATATGTAAACAGAAATTTCATAAATTCTGGTTTAATATTACTAATTTGATAAAGCCAGCTATTAGCAGCAGCATTAAATAGGAAAACGTCAGTAAAAACAACAACAACAGTATCGATTTTGTTTTCTATTCATTCATTGGGAATAACAAAAACTTTGATAATAATGTTTTTCAAGTGTTGGTTTGTAGGGATTTGATTGGTTACAGGATTTCATCATGAGCTGACATTAGTTAGAGAACCATTGGAAAACCTGGGAGTACTGGACAGCTGTTTCGTCCTAGTTTGGGACTCTTCAGCCTTGTAACCAGAAGGTCTTGGGTTCGAATCCCGGTGGGTGCGTACTGACGAAGAGTCCCAAACTAGGACGAAATAGCTGTCCAGTACTCCCAGGTTTTCCAATGGTTCTCTAACTAATGTCAGCTCATGATGAAATAATGTTTTTCTTCCCTTTCATTTCAAATGGAACATAGGAGAGGCTGCAGACTCCTGAAATTTCAGTAGCTTTCGCGTTGTTAGGCCCTACGCTAGGCTTTCTCTCTTTTTATGGGCTTACTTCATGGTTAATTAGTCAGTTGGTCGGTTAGTTAGTTAGTTATAGTTGAACACACACTATGAGCCACCACACACTAAATGGATATGAGGTCTGATGAGACTTCCCAATTATCAGGTTGGGATTCGAGCCCAGGACTGAAAAACTGAGTAATGCAGCACCAATAAGGCATATTTTCATAACTAACAATGAAAACAAATAAGGCTATCTATCTGTCAATTGGAAGGAATGATTTAATTCATTTATTTATTGTTATTATTATTGTTCCCTTGGGTTCCTAGTGGAACATAGGGCTTCAACTGCACGTCTCCACTTGTTTCTATCTTCTGCTGTACTTTTCACCTGAATCCATGTTAGTCCATACTGTTTCAACTCCTCTTCACACGATCTCCTCCATGTCAACCTTGGACGTCCCACTCGCCGCTTCCCTTTCGGGTTCCACTCGAGCAATGGCCTGACGCGCAATGTCACCCAGCGGCCTCCTCAGCGAGTGTTCAATCCATCTCCACTTCTTCTCCTGCATATTTGTTGGGCGATTGGTTCTTGTTTTGTTTGTTCCCATAGTTTCTTGTTGGTGATTCTTTCCGGCCATCTGATCTTCAGTAGTATAGAGCGAAGACAGTTGTTGTTGATAAAGGTCTGCAACAGGCTGTTGGAAATGTTCTTTGTGACCCGCCAAGTTTCTGATCCGTATAGAAGAACTGACTGACTTGACGTTTGTATTGAAAATCCGAATTTTGTTGTTGATGCTCCACTTTTAACATTCTCAGTAACAATGTCTACAAATAGTACTTTCTACAATATATGATACGGGTCAGAAACTTGGTCAGTGTGTCTCGAAAAGGATTTACAACAGGCCACAGAAGACTTTTATCAACAACTGCCCACTTCGCTGACTCCATACTGAAGATCATATGGACAGCTGACTGGCCAGAAAGTATTAGCAACACGAAACTCTGGCCGATCGCTCAATAAATATGTAGGAGGAAATGGAGATGAATCAGGCAAAAGATGAGGAGGTCGTAGAATGACATCGCGCACAATGCAGACCATTGCTCGAGTGGAATCCCAATGGAAAGCGACGAGTGGGTCGTCGATGTGAGGGTGACATGGAGAAGATCGATAGAGGAGCAGGAGTAGGAGGAGATGAGGGATTATGGGCAATCGTGAAGGTAGCCAGCTGAAGATGACGGCAGAAGATAGAAGAAAGTGGAGATGTGTTGTTGAAGCCAGCCCTATGTTCCACTCGGAACCCAAGGGAATAATAAATAAATATATACAATATATGAACAAAGTAAACTAAAATCGGGTATAAAACTGATGAGCTCGACTCGAAATGAGCACCAGACAGCCGTCCGTTGTCTTCAAAATCACTTCGATCTGGCTGGCTGGCAAGCAAGCAATACTGTTTGGTATGATTAGTTTGTGTAACTCCACACACTGAAAGTGGTCGTCATTCACATAATTAAAAAATTTCTTAAATGAATAAAAAATTCATGGAAAATTCCCATTCGAACATTAATAGACAGAGTACCAGTAGTTCAGCGAAGAGTCTCTTTTCGGCGAATTCATTTTCATAGCTGTACAATCGCAAATATATATGGTTGTTTTGTATGTGTGTGTACATTAAATTTGTCAAACGAAAATACAATTAGTAAGTTCAGATGAATTGGATGTTGATATAAGAGGGTAGTAACAAAAGTGATGAGTTGTCACAAACGATTGTTAAAGAAGAGTTACGTAATAACATGAATAGTTTGATGAAAGAGTTGTACTCAGGGTGTACATGGAAACAAAATAACATACGGAATAAAGTGGGTAGAGAAAAATAAGCATACAAGCAAAAGTTAAGTCAAATCAACAGAGTTGTTACCATGATAGTAGAAGTGGTTGAATAATTTTCTTTTGTATGCATAGTTCTGGTTCTTCTAACTGAATGGCTAGGGCTTCTGCAATGCAAAGAAGACGGAAACGTATTGTCTTTGGTAGGTTGTTCTTCACTTTGTAGATTACTTTGAAGGAGGCGTTTGTTGAGATGGAATGACCAGTGTTGACGAGATGTTCGATTATTGCACTCTTTATACGGCCACTACTTCCTTTCTGCAGCCACGCTGCATAGTGTTCTTTGACAGGATGCGCGTTGAACGACCGATGTACCTGGCTTCACAGCAACAGGTGAACTGATATATACACATAGAAGTGGTCAGGTGCGGGATCTTGTCCTTTGGGCTTCTGCAGATCAGCGCGCGACTGGAGAACACTACTCTCAATGTTGCCGCGAAAAAAGTTCTTCTTAAAGAAGTGGATATTCTCCTCCTAAGGACATCACAGAGTAGGTCACCTTTGAAGTTGAGGTTCATATGAAGTATCTTTTTTGGGACGGATAACATTCAACTCTAAACGCTACACATAATATCGAGATGCCTAACAGTATAATATCACCTCTTAGATAAAGAAACATGACAAGCAATTTCACAACAGAAAGTTTAACGAAGCTTTTAAAGTGAAGACAGGAGTAAGATAAGACTGAGTACTCTTCATTGTGGTGGACTATAGTATGCGACAGACTCTACGAATGCAAGAAACCAGACATACTTTGGATCGAGAAGACTCTACAAGATTCGAACTTCACTTATGGTTTATGTCTCGCGTCAAACAAAGCTGGGTCAAAACCAAGAAGCTGGTAGAAGAAGCAGAGAAGACAGGACTTCAATAAGTGAACACAGGGAAGATAAAGGTGATAAAAGGAGGATGCTCAACCGACGACAACAAGATGTATCAATCACCATCAAGAAGAGAAATCTGAAGGGATTTGTGTCTTTAACTGATCTCAGCAGCATCCTTTCACAGTGACAGGCGGTACATATGAGAATGTCGAATTCGCACAGGGTTGCAGAGAAGCAAGACACACTCTTGTGATAAATTAGTGCTTTTATATGGATCAGAGACATGGCGTAGGCGTCACTAAAAAGTATTTTCAACAGATTACTGCAAATTTTCATCAACAGTTGTTCTTCATATAGATCAGATAGCCGGTCAAAAGGATAAGCATAGCAAGGAACTCTGGCAACGCACCAACCAAGAACCTATTATCACCCAACAAATATGTAGAAGGAAATAGAGATGGAATGGACATACGCTGAGGAGACCATCGAGTGACATCGCTCAAAAGGAGTCAAAATAAGGAGCGAAGAAACGGGTTTGGAATCTGATGCTGACAACAGGTAGTGAAAGTCCATGGCCAACCGTGGGGTCAGCTAACGAGGACTGCACAGAATAGAGTAAAATGAAGATGTGCTGTGACCTTTTTTCACCAAGGGAATAATAATATCAGATATGATAGGAGTCGATGGACAACAAGTTCTATATATGATGGAGAAGATTTGTATCTCAGGTGGATGATATTGATGTAGTTGTGTTCTCTGAGCTAGCTGGATATTAATTTGCGAAGCTTTCATTGTCCCACTAGGCAACATCTTCAGTGCTTACACTTCAATTTGAAATGAGCTTTCACATTTCTCCACGAGTTTATAAGTTATCTCTCTGGGTGACCTTGAACGTGATCGATTGTCTTTGTGTGTTTTCACACCTTCTAGGCTACTTTTATTGGTATTGATTGTTTCCTTGACCTGAAGTTTGACCCTTTGTGTATGAGATTTCCTTCTTATCGATTGGTAGATTTTGTCTATGTTGTCCCAGTCGAATTGATATCCATGGTTGTCTGTATGCAGCGATATCGCTGCGACAACGTTCAAATATTAGACAAAAGAAACACCAAGAATGCTAGAGAATTTTTAGAAGCCTGGTATACCAGTGAATCGTCAATCAATAGACAAATCGACAAGACAAAATCTGCCAATCGATAAGAAGGATATGCCACACACAAAAGGTCAAACTTCAGGTCAAGGAAACAATCAATACCAATAAAAGTAGCCTAGAAGGTGTGAAAACACACAAAGACAATCGATCACGCTCAAGGTCACCCAGAGAGATAACTAATAAACTCGTGGAGAAATGTGAAAGCTCACTTCAAATTGAAGTGTATGCGCTGAAGATGTTGCCTAGTAGGCAATGAAAGCTTCGCCAATATAAACTATCCAGTTTCAGAGAACACAACTACATCAAAAAAAGTTCTATATATATCAAATTGTACACAAATTTCATATTGATCAACATATTGATCATCTCTACACCCCTGAATAATCAACTTCAATCGATACAGATGTGGATCACTGGAATTACTTACGGTCACAACAGATCCTAGGTTCAAATTTCTCTTTATCTACTCTTTAACCTGGGCAACTAGGTAGTATTTCCAGCTGTCGTAGAATAAATGTAGCTCTCTTAGTTAGTAGTCTGAAGCCTAAAGGACCACATTCCGGGTAAGAGAGTTTTGATGTGCTTGTGTTCTCTGACAGCTGGATGGTTTATAGTTGCGAAGCTTTCATCGCCCTGCTAGGCGACATCTTCAGCGCATACATTCAATTTGAATGAAGTGAGCGTTCAAATTTCTCCACGAGTTTATTAATCATCTCTCCTGGTGACCTTGGACGTGGTTGGTTGTTTTTGTGTGTTTCCACACCCTCTAGGCTATTTGTATTGGAACTGATTGTTTCCTTGACTTGAACTTTGACCCTATGTGTGTGAGGTTTCTTTCTTATCGGTTGATAAATTCACTGGAATACCAGGCAAGCTTCTAAAAAATTTCTAGCATTCTTGGTGTTTCCTCTGTCTAATATTTGAATATTGTCCCAGTTGAATTGATGTCCATGGTTGTCTGTATGCAGTGAGGCGATATGAGTGAGGGAGTGGATGTCATGTCTTTTGACGTCTAGCTTATATTCGTGGATACGAAGACAGAGAGGGGACTTCCATTTTGGCCAATGTAGTGTTTTTCGCAGTTGTTTGCAATTTATTTTGTAGATGATGTTGGTTTTATCTTCTTTCGTTGTTGAGTCTTTTGGTTGACACAGAGCCAGAGCTGAGTGAAGTGATTTTGTTGGTTTGTGTGTGTGTGCGATGTCAATTCCTAAAGGTTTGAAGAGTCTTGCAGTGATTTCTGATTATCACTCTCATATGCTCCTTTTGTATATTTTCACACCCTCTTCACACTTGTTAAATTGACACTCAAATACCTTTATTCTCACTTAATAGCAATTTTAACCTTATCAAATTTCTATCTTTTTGCCGTTGAGTACCACGTAATTTTCAACTTTTAATTTTCACTTCTAAAGCCACTTCTGAGTAATTACATCAATTATGTCACCCCCTATTACTCAATAATAGACACCATATATTTTTGTAAGTATAAATACGTTGTACAGCCTCTGGAGATGATTTCGTCGATAAAGAAAATTTTCTTCGCTGAATCTGTCTTTTATTTTCTTCATGACTCAATGGGTATTTTCGGTTCTGAGATGTCCTTTATATATGGTAGGGCTTGGGGGTATATGTCTTTTGATGAAATTCCGTGGATATCGATCCATTCTTTTGGAAGACGCGTCCATGAGATATCTTTCTTCAATTAAGAGAGGGTAAGAGAGTTTACACATAACAATCAGAACAAATAAAAACAAAAACAAAAGAAGGACTGATAATAAATAACCTACATGATATAAACAATAAAATTGTTGTTCTTCCTCTGGTATCCCAAATTCTTCAATGCATAAACGTGTTGCTTCATATGCGGTGGTTTGTCTATGCGGCAGGATAATCAATTTACTCGATTGATCTTTCCCACTGTCATTTGATCGCCATACACGTATAACAGACAAATGATCACCACCGCCAACACCACCACCACCGACACCAGTGACATTGCCGGTAGCAACAGGAGGAGGAATAGTAACAGCCGGATGACTATTATTATTATTATTTCGTTGAGATTATGCCGACATGATCACCAAAATCGTTCGTCAAATGGTGATGTAGACTAGTTGATTCGTTGAATCCTTGATGCTTTGATGATGACGATGTCACCAGCGCATTGATTGCAACTAGATCAGGTTGTGATGAGGATCGTTGTAATGAGCTATTTGTACAATTGCCAACAGACTTATTATTATAATTGAATTTATCCGTAGGTGAATGTTGTTGTTCTATTGATTTATTATTATTATAGTACTTGAAGAATCTTTTCTTGAATGTGACCAACGTGACTGACTACTATTCGATGACTAGAATAAATTAAACGAAACGAGAAAAAAAAACAACCAATAAAACAAACTAATGAGGAAGAATATTTTCAGTCTGTATTATGTAATATGCACTATTATTACAAATTTAGAAAATCAATATTCTAAATAATAGTGATTTTTTCTACTCTTCCTTTACATTCCCAGTGGAACATAGGGCTTCAGGCTAGAGACATTTAAAGTTTCGGTAGCAGTGGTGTTTCTTTTGTGGGGTTGAGTTGCTAGCCTCATGTCCAACCTTTCCTCTTTACCGCTCTTATTACCGGCTTACCGAGGTAATTATTTTATTTAAACCCAGAGGAAACTTGGTACAATATGGCACGAAGAAAGATGCGCCACACAATAATAATAAAACAACATAGATTAAAAGTAAAAATATAAGTAGAGAACGGATAAAGAACTTCATATGGAAGGAAAACAGTCATACTTAACAAGTTCAAACAGTATTCGTTAACTACCATCGGGAAGGGAAGAAAGAAGGAAATTGTAATACGTTCGCCATTGATTACGATTCTTGGCCATATCCGATAACGTTTCGAGCCATCGATTCGAGCTATCTCACGGACCCCAACCGGGAAGTCGTGACGTACCAACCGATGCTAATCTAGCACAAATATCCTTCATCCCATGACGCCACGTCATGGACTGACCACCTCTCCACCTTTTCCATCCCGTCTCAGGGCTAGCGAACAGAGACCTGTACGGAAGCCTCTGGGATGACATTCGCAGCACACGTCCAAGCCACCGGAGCCGGTGTTTCTAGATGACGACACTCAATGAATGGTGATCTCCACTGTGTTCAAACACACGCCGCCGAACCTCAGAATTACTCACGCGATGATGCCATCGAACGCAAGCAACCCTGCGGAAACAGCGATGATCGAACACGCAGAGTCGCCTCACATCCTCAGCTCGGAGAGGCCAGGTTTCACAGGTGTAGTGCAAGACAGCACCGAGGTAAAGGAGTGCGTCAGTGACCGGGGATCGAACCCTGAACCACATGTGCGGTTGGAGAGCATTCTACTGCTAAGCCATCGAGGTACAAATAATATTGATAGTAATAATAATCACACGCCTCTTTGATTAAGTGGTAGAATGCTCATCGACCACGCCATGTGTAGTCAAGGGTTCGATTCCCAGTCACCAACGCATTACTTCTTTACCTCGTTTTGGCCGGTAGTAAGCACAGTAAAGAGTAAAGGCTGAGCCAGCATAGGAGCTACCGACTCCACTCCTTAAAAACCAAACAACAAAACGAGGGGTGCTAAAAACTATAAGATTTAAATGTTGACAATGAATTCACCATATCGTTTGACGTATCTTCCTTGTTCACCAATGTGTACCACTTATGCAAACAGTAGAGTTTGTATGCGAAGAAATAATAAGATGAAACATAGATGTCGGTATTCCTATGCCTTTTATAAAACAGCTTCTCTAGAAATGCACAAAGAATGTTCACTTTTTATTCAATAAGGAATTATACAGATGAAATTGATGGTGTGATGATGAGGTCACAACTTGGACCGATTCTAGCCAACATTTTTCCTGAAAAACTACAGAATGGTAGAATACTCGTCAGCTACACAGGTGGTCTAGGGCTTATCCCAACCGACGTACTTCTAGACATCATCTAGATTACTATCGGATAGTGAGCCTAGTGTAGAGGGACGAAAGGGCAATAATCGGATCGAGTCCCAGTGGCTTAATGGTTTACGGACTCGCTAGCCTTGTAACCAGAAGGTCCTGGGACTCGAACCCTGCAGTGTGGGTGCGTACTGATGAAGAGTCCCAAACTAGGCTAACGAAACAGCTGTCCAGTACTCTCTGGTAGTTTTCCAATAGTTCTCTAACTGATGTCAGCTCATGATGAAATCCTCCAATCAATCAATCAAAAATCCCTACAAAACCAATACTTGAAAATCGCAATAACTAAAACAGATATACTAGCTGGTAAGTTCAACAATGCCAGAAAGGTTGTTCCGATAGCGGTTAGTCTAAAGGTAGTCACTTATACTAGGCGGAGAAGGAGTTTGAAGGGTTACACATTAGCAGCAGCATGTAAAATACATTTGAAGAGATCTTGCCATAAGAAGCAGTGCAAATAAGAGACACTTAAGCTTTTAAAACTTTCTGATTCATCGTAATAAGGATAACACAATATCCTGTTGCCCGACTGATAGCTGTTACCTTGATGTGGTGGTCGGGATTGCACATCGCAATGACCCAACAAGCTACACTGGCTGGAACTAATGTTCCTGCAGGTCCTACCATGCCAGAAAGGTTGTTAGGATAGCGATTAGACTAAAAGCAGTTACCAGCATTGTGTAAGAATCTTTCTTACACTTTGCTGGGAGTCTTTGGGAGAAGTCGTACTGCTGGGGAACAGGGTTGTAACAGCAATGAGGTTTTCCCCTCAGATGACCAGCATGCCAGCCAGCTATGTTGTCTCTTCACTCAGGAGAGAGGGAGTTGGAAAAAGTCGACTCCAAAAATTGTACATCCCGATTTACCCCACCTACGGTGGTCCGTAACCGACAGTAAGTTTACTAATACGTAACCACACGAAGAAACCAGTTCATACAGGCCGTGTGTTACTGGCTGGCCTCAAGCAGTTGTCCCCTGGGTTCTGCGATCACGCAACACCAACCCTCTCTCTGTTTCCGGTACCCGAAGAATCAACCAACTTCCACGGTGTGTGGGCAGCCGGGAAGTAACAACCGCCCACACACACTTCCAAAAGCACACGAAGCCTTCCTGAGCATCATTCTCTTCTACCCACATCACCTGTTGCCTGTATTATAACACTCACAGACAGACAGTCACCAGCGTAGACCCAACAGAGTGAGAGACAGAAGAAGAAGAAGAAGCAGTAAGAAAGAAAACATGAAAATATGAATTACCCGTTTATTATCTGTTCCTGTAGTTTTCTGAACATCTTGATTATCTGCATTATTAGATATTCGTGTCGGTGAAGTATTTGCACTATGCGATGATCGTCCCACCATATTAACATGTGGTGTTAACGGATGACAGATTTGTCCACGACGTCCTAATGAATTATTAGCATTATTATTGTTTGATGAAGATGATGAATATGGAGAACCTGGTGTCGTTGTCACCGGTGCTGCCGCGGCTGTTGGAGATAATACATTTGGCGAGGATTGTAAACAATCCGTACTACTCACGACAAGATCATTGGGTATACTGATACTAGTTGGCCTACACAAAATATAAACAAGATATAGATTAATTTCAACAACAACAAAAAAACTATTCAGGCGAAAGTTAACCCAATTTGAGACGTGCAAGTGCATGCACAATCGACTCACTCTTACAAGCAATAGGTTATGTAGGAGATGCAAAACAATGTCACTAAGTTAGAGATGAGATTCAAACCTGAAGATTTGATGAATATGCAGCATGAAAATGATAATGGGTAAGACCTGAGCTGAGGAGACCCTTAAGTGAGATCACACCGGAGGCTATCGAAAAGAACTCGAATAGGTCCAGCGGTGACATCGAAGACTTCGTGTTAGGAGGAAATGAAAGCTTATTGACAACTGTGAAACCAGCACAAAAACAGCTACAGATAACAGGACCTATCACCCAACAAATATACAGGGGAAAATGGAGATGTATGAGACATAAGCTGAGAAGAAAGCGGCGGTCAAACGAAAACATGGCACCAGTCAATGAAATCTACAACAGTTAGTCTAAGCCACGTAGGTAGGTGTAGACTTCCTGGTTGGGGTCCTCGGGACCGTAAAAACCAATGGTTGGAAACAATTGGTGACATGGCTCAAAATCGTTCTCAATGGCTGGTGCAGATGCATCCACTCCTTGTGACTTGTGATTTCCAATGAAACTGTTTTGTTCTTCGTTATTACTATACCTTTGTCTCACACCTCTGTTTACTGTCTATATTAAGCATTTCTTCTAATTTCTTCTCTTGCTTTGTGTGCTACATGGAGGGAGTGTGGCGACTTGAACTGCCGCACATATGTGCAAAGTTCTATGTCGAAAACAGACAGACAGACAGACAGAGAAGAAAGTAGTCACCATCATAGGTGTAAGTCAGTTAGACTAAGAGCGAGAATTATCACAGTAATGAAAGATGATTATACCAATGTTGAGGATATGACGATGAAGCCATTTTGATAGCGAGTAGGAAGGACTATGACAGCAGCAAGGTGTCCGCCCGATATAACCCGTAAGTAAGCTGCGCTGCTTCTCTGCTCTAGGGAAGGAACAGGTAGAAGAACATCTTCAACTGGACACAACTCTAAAAGCCATTTTAAGATAGGCGGCAATGTGACCTACCTTAAGCAGTTATCCCCTGGGAGCTCTGAGGATATGACATGCAACACTAATCTCAATTCCATGATGCTAGCCGCGAAGTAATTATACCCAACACACTTATATGAGCACACCGCTAACTCGTACCGGTAGTATCAGACAATGATTTTGTCTTTATGTCTACTTGAAATTACATCACATTTCCGAAGATGTTCTTAATACTACTTACATTATTAAAGTGTAGCAAAATTCATTCAGACATCTATAAACACAAAAACAGCAAGAATATCTTTCGTGTGGCAATGGGGTCACCACTAGACCCATTCTAACCGACATTTCCCTTGCGAAACTAGAAAATGGGCTTTTGAAAGATGTTATTCATGAACGTGAATTCTATTGTCGGTACATGGATGATACTTTTTGATTATGAAAAATGAGAAGGAAGGAAAGAACATCCTGGATAAATTTAATGAGGTACATCCTACAATAAATTTTACTATTGAGAAAGAAAAAGACTCTAGTATTTCATTTTTAGACGTCCTTATGACCAGAAAAGAGGATGGTGCAATAAGAAGAAGTGTATATAGAAAACCTACATCAACGGGCCAGTACACACATTTTCTCAGCTTTGTGCCCATGAAATACACACGTAATCTAATAAAATGCTTGGTTCGTAGAGCAAGAGCAATTTGCTCGGATGAATGTCTTGACGAGGGACTTAACAATATTAAACAGTTGCTAAGTGAGAAGTTATGCTGAAAGTTTATTGATAAGAATATGAATCTAAATCAAAGCAAACCAATAAAACTTAACAGTTCCTCGGGATAACATCAGCTAGACACTAACACAACGCCTTAGAAATGCGGTATAAAAAGCATTCCCGGCTGCCGAATTACGTTGTGTCTTCAAAACCACTCCTCTTTTGCGTCCGGGAGTAAAAGACAAACTGCCTAATTTTGCCTCTTCCATGTGTATATACCAATTTAACTGCTCCTGTGGAGTGAGCCAGTTAATAGGCCATACAATTAGGCATGTTTCTCGTCGGATTCCGAACATAATCCTGCCTGGTTAAGCAAAGGACAAACAAAATCTATTCGAAGCGCTATTCTATCTCATTTTATGGATACAGAACACAAGATTGACGTTAACCATGCTTTCAGGGTCATTTACCGCATACCTACGAATCTCAATTTTGCCTTAAGAGTTCGACTACTAAATATTGCTGAGGCTGGTTGTTGGGATCCATATTAGCAAGCCTAATTTGTGCATCCAAAAAAAGTTAGTTCAGACATTGTCCTCACCTTGGCCATCTAGGTTTGAATGATCCTGAATTTTTGTGGAATTTTCCTAATTTTAGTTTATATTCTATTTGCTATTATATCTTTATGATTATTATAATTTAAGCATCTTTTATGAACTGTAATTCCATTGTGATCTTAGTTTACAAATCGATATTATTGTTTAAAAAACACTAATATTGTTATTGACTACTAATCTAGAATATTTTATGTATATAAACACAAGTATGTGTATAATTGTAGAGCCAGAAGAGGAATTCATCGAAAAGAATATTCTTTGCTCGATTATTTTGTATTTCAAAGTAGTTGGATGAACCAAAATTTGTCGAATCTCTAGCAACACAATTGTACTTTTTTTGTTAGATTGAAATTAGGGACATTGTACATGAATTTTTTTTGAAAAAAATAATTCATGTTGGAATATAGATAACTTCCGAGTACAATCTGAAATACAGTGTAATGTTGGCCGTTTCGTCTTCTCACTAGTCTATACTATCTGCTTGTTTCACTACTAACCATGTTGTGTATACTCCTCATCCGAAGACTATTCTGCAACCGGTACACAGCTTCTACCCAGTAGACACGACTCCATCAGTGAACACTCTTGTGGAGTATATTAATAATTTCTGGTGACGGGACTTTAACTGTATATCCAAGTAAGCAATTAACTTATATAACTCATTAACCGTATTTTTATAATATATCAATTCATTAAACTTGGATTTTAATTCATATATTAGTTCTGTTATTGAGCTCGCTATAAAGTCCTCTACACATTCCCAGTGAAGAGTGATGGTTTTCTCCCACTGGGGCTCTCCTCGAACAGAGCGCATCCAACAGGGAATGAGCATTTCGGGGAGAACACAAATAAACTTAAACCGACAGATGGTTCTCATGATCTAGGGGCGTGGGGGGGGGGATAACACGTATTGAGCGTTTAAAATAACAAGCAATAAAGGTTAATAAAGCAGGATTTAATGATGGATTCATCAAATTTCGGTAGAACTACTCGTCAGCTGAATACTCTACATACACGGATATATATATATACTTTTGAAATTACATTGGGAGATATAACACTGATAAGTGAGTGAACAAACTACATTGAATTAGTCATGCAGAAAGACAGGTGCGAATGTTTTCCAGGTCATGTTCAAATAGATAAGGGGAGAGGGAGTATGAGAGATTGAAATAAAGATAAAATGCATTACGCTTCAATTACATCACTTAGATAAACAATTAATCATTAGAGAATATAACAAGAATTGCAAACAGAGTAATATCAATAGTAATAGTTATAATAATAATAATAATAATAATAATGTTGAAGTGAGTTAAGATAATCCTACTGATAAAGGATAGTTTTAAATGAATCAATAATAATAATAATAAGAGGTAGAATAATAAGTAAAACGTATTACCATGGTAGATTCAGAGTCACAACCATCTCCTTTTGTACACAGAGACCTGGTGTCTGAGTGTGTGTGTGTGTTTGTGGAAGCGAATACATAGGTCGTACAGAAAGGCGAGTGATTGTCTACTCGCATGATGGAGCATTTGCCAAAACGGTTGAAAACAGCTGAGTGTAAAGTGCCAAAATCCTCAATAACAAAACATCTTGTGGATTACGGACATGATATCGACGCGGTCAAGTCATTCACTACTGTAAGTCAGCAGATAAAGAAACAAGAAGATGCTTGCAATTGCGTAGGTTTGTGCAATTCAAGTTTATAAACCAGGTCTCTGTGTACAAAAGGAGATGGTCGTGACTCTGAATCTACCATGGTAATACGTTTTGCTTATTATTCTACCTCTTATTATTATTATTCTTGATTCATTTAAAACTATCCTTTATCAGTAGGATTATCTTAACTCACTTCAACACTATTACTATTATTATTGTTATTATAACTATTACTATTGATATTACTCTGTTTGCAATTCTTGTTATATTCTCTAATGACTAATTGTTTATCTAAGTGATGTAATTGAAGCGTAATGCAATTTATCTTAATTTTGATCTCTCATACTCTCTCTCCCCTTATCTATTTGAACATGACCTGGAAAACATTCGCACCTGTCTTTCTGCATGACTAATTCAATGTAGTTTGTTCACTCACTTATCAGTGTTATATCTCCCAATGTAATTTCAAAAGTATATATATATATCGTGTATGTAGAGTATTCAGCTGACGAGTAGTTCTACCGAAATTTGATGAATCCATCATTAAATCCTGCTTTATTGCTTGTTTTAAATTCGTATCGGGAAATAAATGTTTAAAATAACGATGGTTGCTGCTGGGATTAGGAGTCAGTCCGTGAGAAATCCACCAGTCACTAGGTGGTGGGGAGGGCGAGAGAGGTGCAGAGATGTAAATATACTTGAAGGAGTCCGTCTCAAGTAGACTTCACTTCTACAGCCACCATTAGTATCGACCAAAATAACATAAGAGATTAACTTTTAGACTTTGTCGAAGCAACCAACACAGACCGGGTAATTCAGTACAACATAAAAAAAATCAATCAACGGGATGGATAAAATTAGCCTAAAACACAAATAATATATATATATTATGACTGCTATTAGTTACCGGTAGTTATACAGTCTAACCTAACGTCTAGTCT